CAGGTTTCCAGCACCAGCCCAGTCTGCAGAAAGGGAGGCAGGCACGTGCAGGGAGCAGGGGCAGGCAGCTTGGAGAGGTTGCTTGGCCAGAGGCATGGAAACAAAGGGACCCTGCAAGGGAGAAACATGCACCAGAGGGGCCTAGCAGGAGACTTGCCAGAAACAGCTGTATTGCTTGGATGAAGAGTGGCCTCAAAGAGCAGCTGGAAGAGACAGCGGGCAGGGACAAGGCCAGGGGGAAGCAGACAGGTGAGGTGAAGGCGAAGGAGATGATGGCCGGGCTGTCTGAAGCCGGTGGGGGAGCCCAGCTCACAGAAGCTGCAGGTCGTGTCCCAGCAGCCTGAGAGCAGGGCCCAGGTGCCTGGAGGAAGCAAGAGCTCTGCTGCAGCAGAGGCTGATTTCTGCAGTTATTTGCAGCAGGGAAGAGGCTCTGCGCCCCTGACCTGCCCATCACCGGAGGGTGAGGAGCAAAGGGAGCTGTTGGTGCAGCCCAAAAGCATCCACCTTGCAGACTCCCCCAAGGGCTGTGCCAGTGCCCGGTTTGTAAGCCACGGGGCTGCTTAGAAACACCTGGAGGAGCCCATGGGACAGGTGCAGCTGGGAGCTGCAGGTAGAGGGAGGCGGATTCCATGTGAACCTGGATGCAGAGAGACCCAGAGGGGCAAGGTAAGAAGGGAAGCTGTGGTCCTTACATGGGAATAAATGCTGCCTCCCAAGGGGAGAAGAGTGCCCTGGGTCTCCCATCCCCACTGCGCAGTGAAGAGGGAGGCATCTTTGCAGCCTTGGCAGACAGCTCTGTAAAGTGGTGAAGCCTGCATGTGTCTGTCTCTGCCCTGGAGACTAGGTAAGGGTAGAAGCTGGCAAGGTCTCTAATTGTATCCAGGCCTCCAGGGAGGGGAGAGCTCCCGGGGTGAGCTGGGGCTGGGTGGCATGGGTGGGGGACGGTGAGTTGCTTGCGCTACTGGATGGGTAGTCACTCCCCCTTGAAGGTCCTGCAGAGGCCAGGTGGTCCAGCCACAGCTAAGAGACTGGGTGTGGATGGGGGATGAAAGCGCCCTACACTGTAGGGTGAGCTCTGAGAGGA